TCTTTTTTTTCGGCCCACATTTGAAAATTTACTCGAGGTCAATTGAAAATCGTGATTCGGTTCAACGGAATTCGTATTTAAATTTGGAATGCTGTCGTTGCCACCGTCGCCGAAAAACACACGACAATCGCCAAAAAATCGTTGTCAACTCGATAAATGCAATTATTTCCTTTTAAAATATCAAACGTTCGGCGGAAGAAATATTTATGCTTCGCTTGCATTGCCTTTTGTTTTTACAAAGAGACCCATAACGTTAACGAATATACGGCTTAAATGCATTTCAAACGCCCACGGCGTTTCTTTGCATCATGCGACAATATAGAAATTGTGCCTGCCTGCTTCTTTGTTTTAGAAACACATTGGACCGAACCGAAAATAGAAATTGCATTTCTCGAAATTAAACTAATCGAATGGAACAAAAAATTATGATTTTTTTTCTTCAGTGAACGCGCGTCCGCCCGCCCGCCATCGAAAAGGTTTAGTGGTTGCGTTGTATTTTTTGACATGTTTTCGTTTTTTTTTTCTTTTCGTCGTTGCAGGCTTTCATTTGTCACGTTCTTTCTCTATCCTGAACTAAATCTTTTCTATACCACAAATCGACACATTCACAGCGAATGAATGTCGTGAGATTTAAAATTCATTGCGAATATTATACGGCAATAAAGTACTTTTACTTTGGCATAAAACACACCATTTTATTCACCTACGTAATCTTTGGCAGGCGAAAAAAAAGGCATACAACACACGCTTGATACACACACACACACGAATTAAGAAGGAAAAAATCATAATCAAATGTTATGCAGATAAACGTTGCAACGAACACGTTCTCCATATTTGATTCAATAAATGAAACAAAAAAAAAACGGAAAAAATTGTTTCGATCTGTATAAATCCTTTCCATTTGAAATGACTTTTTCTGGATTTCCTCAATTCCACGCCGCGTCATTTTAATACGCCTTTTTCTTGTACTTTTAATACCGCGTTTATCAATATAATTTTTTTTTCTTCACTCGGTTTGTTTATGACTGGAGAATAATAACCAAAGATTATTATCTTTAAAAGTTGAAATTAATTCGCATTGATTCGTTTGAAATCGCACTAAATTCAGCAGGAAATCATATTGACTTATTGAAATGCAAAGTGATGCAGTTATAAAATCACCACCACCGCCACCACTGACAGGCGACGAGGAGAAAGAGAGCAACAATAATCAGTTTCTAGATTGAATTTGGACAACTTCGAAAAAAATGATTGCACAATTTCGCGTAATCATTTAATCGGATACAAAAGGAGCGCGAACGAAAAAAAAAATCGAGCATTTATTTGTGGGAAAAAAAAGAAAGTAAAAAGAAGAAAATAAAAACTTGCGCACGAAAACGGAATAAAACACGTACTTGCTTGAGTTTAATTAAACTGGTTCAGTATTTCAATGATTCAATGAGAGCATTTATTCGAATTATCGTAGAGAAACAATCACGTCGTTCAAGTCAGCTTCTTTTTCATTTCATTTTTAGCCAGAAAAATGAGAGAAAGAAAAATAAAATTCATTTCTCTGCCATTTCTCACTCAGCTGTATTTCAATTTATACAGTGTGCGCGAGCGCTGGCGCGATTATTAACGAGATCACTGAAATTTCAACGGTTAATAGCTCCACTCAATTTGAATCAAAATATATTATTAATCAGATTTTTTTTTCGCCATATTATTTGCCATTATTCTTCTTGTATTCGGCGCAACAAACACATTCATTTCAATGGACGGGATGACGTGTGTGAAATTGTTCAATTGAATTCTATACCAAGATGCCTGCTTATAAGCTTACGCGCGAACACACACACACAGCTTATTTCAATTGATTGATCTGACTTATAAATAATGATTGACATCTTATCGGCTTTGTATCGCAAATAAAGGCACAGAGAATGATATGAAATTTATACGTGGAATTTTCACTTCACAATTTTGTGAATTGTAAAAATCATGCACAAACCATGCGTCACACACACTCGCGCTTGGATTTGATTCGTTTATGATGGATATCAATAAGCTGTGCGACCTTATTCTTTGACTAAGTTTTGGAGGTCATTTAGCAACTTCAGCTGCATTGTTCGGAACAGAAAAAGAAACCTTTCATTTTTGTTTCTCTCCGTGGCTAATGACATGCGAACTGGAAGAACAGAGATGAAAACCGTCAAACTAATTCACACACACGCGCGCACGCGGATCTTTTGTGAGTTTTACGCAAATTAAATCGTGACAATTTCGCACGTTCTTCGGAAATTTTCTCCAATGCAACACCACAACATCTGGCGTACAGTTCATCCGCATAGCTGAACGGAAAACGTGCCAAATTCACAGCATTTATCCATTTTAATTGTTCGCTATTTTGCCCAATTGAAAATAGCCTTAATGAACTACAATCGATTTTAAATATGGCACTAATTTTTGTAAATGCATACATTTGTGTATAATTTTCTTCGCCAATTCGTGCACAGTCAATGGGCTCGAACCGTTTTTTTTTCTCTAACAGTTTTTCGTTAGATTTCGAGGAGTTGAGCGAGTAAAAAATTGGTGGCAAACCAAATGTTCATTGAACATTGAACATTTAATTGATTTGCCACATTTTTAGGTATATCATAACTCGCCATTGTTGCTAATTTGTGTGTTCAAATGCGCGAACACAGAAAGAAAAACCGCGAAAAGAATGGAATCAATTATAGGTATTGCCTTCAAGGGACTTAATTATATTTACGAATTATTATTAGCGATAGGAATCGATATTGTGGTTTGAGTATTGTTGTTTCTAAACGATTGTGAGTGTTGGCTGGTCTTGATGCAACGAAAAAATGCATATATTTTCAAATTACCTTCACATTTTCCGTATTTAGAGTGTTCGATCATGCATATCAGTTTTTATATTAAAAAAAAAAAAACAGATTGAATGCGCGCCGCACTTTTTTCTTGGTGGCTTCTTCAGAATATTTTCGTTTTTGTTCCTCAAGACAATCGAAGTCATATCCTAAAACAATTGGAATTTCCGAATGGAAGTTTTTATTTCTGTCTTAGGAACTAAATTGTTGGTTTTTTGTTCATCTCTTAAAACCATCAAAATTTATCGCTTGAATAATGTTTGAGAGTGAGAATGTAGATCGCTTGAGCAGAGCCTAAAAGTGAGAAGGAGAGAGAGACACGCTCAGAGATTGACGAAGCCCAAACGAACTTGTGACCTTCACGCAATTGAAATGAACATGGTTTTCTAACCTACTTGTTTATTTATATCGTTTTCGATGACTATCTCGCGTATAATCGCAAGTGATGTTGATTTGCTGAGTGAATAGTAGGAGCGACCGCAACAAATAAAATAAATCACTTGTGCCTTTAAGGTGTAATTAGCATAAAACCGTTACACGAATTCGACTGAATGCCATTATGAAGAACACACACACACACACACAACACATTCAAATGAATCGATCAAGCGAATGAACGAGCAAGATAGCAACAGCCAAGAGAAAAAAACTTTGAGAAATGAGAAAAAGAGAGAAGAAATATCCAGTGTGAATCCAAGAAAAAAAAGACATTGTCACTGTTTTGTGGCGCGATCTCTGCAAACAAAACACAACGGCACACACACCGGTGTGGCTAAGCATTGAAATTGAACGCGAAAACAGCCAGCGGCGTAATTGAAGCACTAATGGTGTGTGTGTAAGTGTTGGCTGTTGTTGTTAGTTTTTTTTCCATTCGTCTCTTTCTTAATCTCACTGAGTTTTGAGTTCGGTTGCGTCAGAACCTAATTATCGTACACAATGTTTGTTCAAAAATGCATGAAAATGGGAAACATGTGACACACTGAGCGAATGAGAGAGATCAAGACAATTGACAAATCCAAAGTTCACCGATTCCATTTTCAATGCAGTTCAGTTCAATGTTTGTTGTGCAGCAACAAACATACGTCAACTGTCTCCCAAAGTAAAATCCAAACCGAATTGTGTTCGCTTCACCAATATTCCCCAGCAAATTGCATTTGCGGTTACGGTCTGAAGAGGAATTTCCTTTATCAATGCATTAATCAAGCGCATTAAGAAATGTGTTGTTATTTTCATGAAGCGCATCGTTTGTTGTTGTTTCTCTGTCGAGTGTCATCATCGCCATCGTTTGGTAATTGAAAATCAATTTGAACGCTTTTTTTTAATGAAAAACAAAAGAGAACGAACGAAAAAATTAAATCGCAAAATGTCGCCCCGATGTGACAAGTCAAGGTGGATTCGAAATCAATGTTTTGTAACAAGACACTAAACAAAATACGACTTTTGCTGTGTAGAGCAGACACCTTTTCGTATCGTGTTCGATGCATTTTTTTTTCTTTAAATGTTCTAGTCACAATGCGCATAAAAAAAAATCCCAAGAAAATCGAGAAGAAGAAGAAGAAGACAAAAAACCGGGAATCTCAATTGATTTTCATACTAAGAGTTATTGTGCCTTTTTGTGTGCTGTATGTACTTCCAAATCATTGTTTTATTTTTCGACACACCGCACATAAATCACTCGATGTTGAATTTTCCGCGCCAATGTTGACTTTTTGCATTCGAATGTGTGTTCTTCTCTTGCGCTCACGCGCGAGATGTGTCTTTGTTTTTGAATGTCGCCTACAATGTGCGATTTCTTGTTTACAATCTGTTCATCCTTTCGCAATGCAGAAAAAAAACCTTCGAAAGTACACCAAATTCGTGCATATCCACCAGTCAAATTGTGCACTGACAACACAAGAGCGTGTGCTCAAGCTTTCGCGCATGAGTTATGATAAAGAATTGCAAATGCGATGTGTGTAATTGAGTAGGAGTCAAGTAAATAAATTGCAATGGCAAATGATATTTTTCATTCCATTGGCGATGATGGTGAATGTGCTTGTTAAGACAAACTGTCTGTTTAATTTCAAACATACGCATTTTATGTTAAACATCTTGACTAACTGCTTGTTTCTTTTTTTTTCATTTCAGAGCATCTAACAGTGCAAGCACAGTCTAGGCGACCGTCAACAATAGCACGATCGTTGGGTGTGAATCCAAAAGGGTCAGCGTCATCAGACGCCTTTCAGTGTCCCGAAGAGTTCGGCTATTATCCGCATCCGTCCGATTGCTCACAGTATTATGTGTGCGTGTTTGGCGGAGCGTTGTTAGAGAGCTGCACGGGTGGATTGATGTATAGTCATGAGTTGCAAACGTGCGATTGGCCACGGAACGTGGGTTGTGAAGCGTCCGATGAGAATGTATCGTCAAATGGCTCGGGACGAGAATTGAATGGGCGACAACAACAGCAGCAACAGCAACAACAGCATGACGCTTATCAAGTAGTGCCAAATAAATTCCGATTTTCGTCGGTATCGTCGACACCGCAAACCGATCGATATCCGGATTCAATACCAGTACGCCATTCATCTGTGTCACCGGTTACTCAACAAACTTTAGCACCTCTATCGAATACGCTACCACCACAGCCGTTCGTGCAACCAAATCCAGTGATCACATCACGAGGTCAACCAAAACCATTGGACAATCTCGATATCGCCAAGGTAAGCGTGTCGATTCTTATTTTTTCGAAAAGGATGCGTGATTGATTTATGGCATCGCATTTACTTGCAGTTGTACGAAGCGCATGACACATTGCCACCGATCGAGGAAGAAGAGTCGGATCGCCAGCAGAGAGTGTATCGTGGACAACCGAGCACCGTTGGCCAGGTACAACGTGATCGCGACGGCTTAATCACGCAACATGTCAATGCATTGCCGAGCCACGGTAAAGTCGGTTCATTTTCATTCGGTTCGCAAATCAATCAACACAGGTAAGCCAGTAAAAAATATTGCCAGATTTTTGTGTTCCGTGCATACATGCACGCTACCGCCCTTCTCTCGATTACATTCATACGATTATTATCTTTCTCTCGTACAAAACGAATGAGAAAAAATAAATTAAGAAAGAAAAAAAAAGCAAATACAAAATTCATTAAATTCCATGAGATCCACATTACATATTGACAAAAATCTACTTCTTTTTTCAATTAAAAAAAACACACACACACACAACAAACAACAATAACTTACATTGCTTGCGTAGTGACATACCGGACGTGGTTTCTATTGACATAACTGACAACAAAATTGAAACACAAACTGCAAAGCACTTAGACCGTAAAAAACGTGACGTTGACGAAAGCGAAGACATAGCAACGACTGAAACGCGACGACGCGCCGACAACGGCAACAACAACGACGACTACGTCGACGGCGACGTTGACGATGATCACACATCATCGAATGGTAATGAATCACACGACGATGAACATGATGAAACTGCAACAACACCGATTGAGACAGGCAAACGAACAGTGCGCCAATTGAGGCCACCGCCACCAATTGGACCTTGGCAATTTTCTGTCGATAATTTTAATTTGCCAAACGAACCACGATTGCATTCTACCTCAAGAGCTCATCCACAAGCTGGTCACTTCCAAAGAGACACGGAACTCAGTAGTGTAAATTACAATACATTTTTAACGCCGCCAGGCAGTGCACGATCCAATGACTTTTACAAAAATGAAAATCCATACTATCAGTTGCCATCGTTCAAGCAAACCGAATACAATCCATACGGCAATCCGTATGGAAACTTTAAAAATTCCGCACCAAATGCAGTCACCGAATTCAATTCACCAAAACCATACACCATTCACACGACATTCGATGTTGGTGATGCACAGCAAACCCATTTTAAGCCATCAAAACTTGTGTCACAAGCACCTTTCTATCCACTTGTTCCGAATGGCGGTGGCGCACCGAAACCGGTACAAAAAGGCATACCAAATTCGGCAATTTCAAGTTCAGCAACCGGTGATCCTGTTGACAGTCTACCGGAAAACTTTTCCTACTATCACATGGCAAATGGTGTACAAATTAAACAGGAATTCAATCGTCATCCATCGCAATCGAATCAACAGAATCTGAAAATTCAACAAGTCCGACAACCACAAGCTCCACTCTACTATTTAGACAAACCGGCGAAAATTTTAAGTGCTTCAACGCCAAAAACACATTATGTGCATATTAGCACTGTTGGTGGATTTCTCAACAATAATCCGACTGCATTCGCAACCATCAATCACAATAAGAAACCGAAATTACGGCCAAACACCGTCGACAAATACAATGACTACACACATCGACCCGTTTACCGCGAACCAGCCGCTGTGCATGAGAACAATCAAAACAATAACATTTACGGTGGCAATGCTTATAATGTACAGGAAAATACGGACGTTTCAACATACTACAATCCATTGGTTTCACAAAGACCGAACATTGTAACACCCGTGGCGGTATCCACGGTGAAACCAGTGTTTAATAATGAATTGCCATTTTCGAATTTCGAACAAAAATCACAAAAACCACTTTACTCGTTTGAAGTGACAACGGACGAACTCAAGCCAACGGAAAAGAATAACGGTTTTTATATTACACAAACGTTGAAAGATGCAAATGTTGAGAAGTTCACGCGGCCATCGATTAAGCTGCAATCGCAAGATCAAAAGAATTATGAGCCACCAAAGAGCTATGAGGTGATTAAAAACTATGATGCACCAAAGAATTACGATGATCCAGTTATAATTGGAGGTGCAAAGAAGCGGCCACCGATTGTGGGCCCACAAGTTGGAGTTAATTTTGATTTCAATAAATTTGTGTATAACATTCGTGAATCGCAGCATTTGCCCAAGCCAACACCAAAATACAATGCAATCGCTCGGCCAATTGAACCCGATACCGTTTTGATTAGACCGCAAAATAAACCAGTGCCTAAAAAGATTCAAACGACTACTGCCATTCCAGACGATTATTACTACGATGTGGACGAAGAACCATTGACGACCACAGCCAAGAAAACAGTGCCACCAACTACAACCCTTAAACATACTAAAGAGCCAGCAATTACAACACATAAACATACGACATCAACTCTAGCTGAGTACACAACCAAACCAGTGAAAACGAACTATATCAATGGTTTCTCGTCACCGCACAGCATTAGCACACCGCAAACATTTGAAACGTCATTCAAAGGAAAAGATCCAAAGGTTGAAGAGGATTATTACGAGTACGAAGATGAAGATTATAGCGGTGACATAAAATTACCACCGCAAAATGTGTCAAAGTTCATGCCGATGTCAGAAACGGCAGCACCACGCCCATACTCAACCACCGTAAAATCGCTAACAATTTTAACACAAAGACCACTAACAACGCCACCGCCAACAATAACAACAACAACAACGAAAAAGCACAGCACAACAACCTTCGATCGATCGCATTATACAAAGAGCAGCACCGAAACAACATCACCAATTCCAGCGATCATCACATTCCCAGAAGATGTTTTCCAAGGTGTACGACACAACGAACATCGTACCGATATTCCGCGCTATTTAAATCAATCCACATTGAGGCCGTACACGTTGCGTACACGCAATAAACCAACCAATCTATCTGGACCGGTGAAAACATCAAAAGCACCAAAAACACGCATTAAAACGACTATCAAAACGACCTCATCCAGCAAATTGACAACACTCACAAGTGAACCGACAACAACGACAACGCTGACAACCAGCACGCCCAAGACAAAGACATTCACTATTCGAGCCAAACATAACAATTACAATACGGGCAAAGGACAACAACAACAACACCAATCGCAATCACAATCACAATCGCAATCGACTAATTCAAATCGCTGGAAACAAGAAAATAAAGCGCAAAAAGCACAACGCACAAATGCACTGAAAAAGAACTTATGGGAACTTGACGAACGCCTACCAAACAGGTATCATCTTTGTTAAGCGCAAAACAAAAAACACACATCAAACAAACAAACAAAAAATCTAATTAAGCGTTCATTACCAACCCATATTCCATCATAAAACATCATCCATACATAAAAACACCTCTTACGTAACACTCAATATCCAATCCATGCCATACCATTTTCATTACCATTGCGACTAACACAATACACCGACTACACACAGGGACTTTTTCTTACATGACATTCAATAGAACACGAATTTTTTTTTTTCACTTTTTGTTTGAAAACGAAAAATTCACTTGAAAAAAAAAACATATATCCAAACTCATGCTTCTTCATTTCCATTCAGTCTTTTCGTAAATTTTGTTTTGTTCTTGTTGTTGATCTGTTTGTTTGGTTCTTTCTTTTTGATACTCACTTTCGTTTCTCCATGTGTTCCGACAGAGTTGAATCGTCTTCGCAATTACCATCGGCCCCAGAAAGTAATCGAAACTATTACAATGCAACAAGCAATCAAGAGTACAATAACCCAACGCAATACAATTCGTATTTCTCCGTGTATGATGATGAGGCTGAAGACACTGGCGATCTTTACAGAGACGGTAAGTGGTTCGATGAACTCCAACACTCGACTTTTTTTCTTTCTTCTTTTTTCGAACTTGCACTTTGATTTTCATCGGCTAATTTTTTTTTCTCTCTATCTCTCTCACTCTTTTTACTCTCTCGCTCTACCGCTTGTTTGCTAATAAATTCTCTCTCTCTTTCGCTCTACCAATCGGTTTTTTCGGCATGTTTTTTTTGCGTATGAAATTCAGATTACCCAGCACAATACAATAATAACCGGAATCCATCGCAACCGAAATACGTGCAAACGACCTATCGGCCAAGCACAACTCTGACCACTCAAACGCAATCAACATCGACTAAGAGTATTCCACCGCCGCACCAGCCACAGCAAACATACATTTCCAATTCGAAGCCCAATTATGACCAAGCACCAGCACATGAAGCATATAATCCAGAATACGATGAAGCACTTGTGGCACAGGTATTTGCTTTCATCTTTTTTTTTTTTTTGGAAAACCCCAAATAACTTTTTTAAGCAAATATTTGCGTTTTAATTGGCAAAAAAAATACAAAGAATAAAAAGAATGCGAAGAATTTATCAGTTGGCCGGAAAAAACACACTTAATTTTTGAACATAAAATATCGACTTATCTCCGATTTCATTTCAATTGACTTTTTCTCTTTTCTCCCGATTTTCACTCTTTGAACACTCGCAGCTTGAAGCAGATAATGAATATGATCAACCCACGAAGACACAAGTTCGGTAAGTTATGTCACATTTCTCTGTCATTCCATTCCAATTAATATCGACTAAAATGTATTTTGCTCATAAACATTTCGTATCCTTCTGATATGGAATGGTTTTTCATTTGTTTTTTGTTATGCGATATGAGCATTAAATGTCTTTTTTTTATCATTGTAATGTGTATTAATACATTTTGCCGCTTTACAAAGCCGGCAAAAAAAAAACCAAAACCAATATTGTTTTAAAACCGTTGAGATTAATTATGTTATTTGTTTGTGATTAATCCCGATATTAATCATGTTGATAGTTATATATATTTTATACGTAAATCTGGTTCAATAGAAGTCATTCACACATCGAACTTTAGAGAATTGCAGAGTAGAGATGGTTTTTTTTTATTTGCAAAACAAAAAAAAAAACCAAATGCGAAATTGTATACGTTTCGTAAATCGTTTTTGTTTTTTGGTAAATGCGTAAATATTAGCAATCCATTTTAAAGCGTCATCAATGGCACACAAACACTCTTTCGCAACGAGAATCATTTTGTTGAATTTATTTAGTTAATTTACTTAGATTATTTCGGAAATATTTTTTTTTCGTTTTATAAAAATTCATTTGGGTCTTCGTTGACTCGAACAGAAGAAGAAAAAAAAAACTTTAAGAGAACATATTCACTAATCCAAAGTCCACACTGAATCCATGACCATATGTAGGGATGAGCAAATCGATCAGAATGAATTCGAATTAGATATTATAACCGATCGGTATATATTGTCATCGACGATACGTGCACCGATTCGGCCACCATTGATAACTGTCCCCGAAGCGTTCACCTCGCGGAATCAATTCCCTGAGCCAAAAACAACTGTTCCACCGGCGATCATCGAAAAAACCACCATCGAACCGCTTACCGAAACATTCTCCGGAATCGATCACAATGAGCCGGAATTTGAAACAACAACACTGGTCTCACAAACACAACCTTCAACAAAATCCGAAGCGGAAAGGTAGAAATTAGTTAAACAAACCAAACCAAACAGAAAAAAAACAAACAACCCATACACAATTCACACGCAAGCTGATTATTTGCAACAGCTAAACCATCTATAAATCATTCAAATTCCATACATACTCAGTCACATTTTCGTTCTATTTGCTCCCATTTTCTGGTACACTGTGAATTGAAACAATATTCAAGACAAAAACAACAACCGCTCATTGTCATCATTGCATTTCGGGTCGAAAATCGCATCGAATTTGACCACCATCGCGCACCTTCCAAAATGATCGATTGCAATTATACATTTAAAAAACAAAACGCTTTCCCTTTGATGGCAACACATTTGTCACATAAGTAATAGTTTTGAGTGGAATGTGATTGCAATTGTTTCATTTCCGTTTCTCTAATTTCTCTAAGGCTGACTTTTTTACCTTCAAGCTTTTTTCATCGCTTTATTTTCGCTTTCATTTATAATTGCCAAAAACATTTGTTGTACTAATTTTTTTTTCTCTGCATTTGCTGGGCAGTGAGATGATTTATTTTTTTCTCATTCATTCGTTTGTGATTTTATTTTTATATTATTCAATAACAATGGATGGACTATTTATTTACGCATGTGATTTTTATTTGCCATTTGCTGCGTTTTGCTTTCAATAAATCGATTGTTCGTATTTCATTTTGTTGTGTCAGAAGAACAACGATTTCGACGACATATACCATGCTAGTCACTATTCAATAAAAAAAAATCATTCTTTAAGAAAATTTTCAAACATCTTGGTATTTGGTTTGGATCATCCGGGCTCAGTTGAAACAAATTTTTAGCGTAGAATAAGTTTAATTCATTTTATTTTCCTTCTAAATATTTTTACTGGCATGGTACTGAATATTTCTTTAGAATCATCGTTTAATCCATTGTAATGAACAAAACAAAAAACGTACCAACACATATACACCGGAATAAACGATGAAAATGTACGGTAACAATTTGCTATCACAATTACGTACGAAAGAAAGAAAAGGCAACGTGAAATGAAACGTCGTTGAAAAACGAACAAACTGTGTAAAGAAATGTAGCTGTGTAGGGAATGAAAAGAGTCATTGAATCGTTTGTTGCGCCGCTGTGATTGTATCGATCCAAAATGAGTGGCGATCATTTCTTCACAATAATTTTTGGGGCTTTGTCATTGACATTCACACACACATAATCATCATCAATTCATGTCATTTTTCATATCCACATGAATTTACACCCAAAAAAAAACCAAAACCGGAAAGAAAATAAGTGAACAATATTCGGGCTTTATTGCAGGCTGCTTGAAAATAGGTTTTATTAGTGGCGAATATATTTTTTTTTTTGTTTCGAAAAGATTTTTTTTTCGTCGTTTATTTGAAACTAAAATATGAAACTTTTTTTTCCACATTTCCAAAAATTAAAAAAAGCAAAAATACGCTCACTCACACATGAACCAAATTTGAAAATTCGATGTACGGTTTACTAGAATTGTATGTTTTTATATTACCCCATTTTCAAACAGATCAAGTGATGTCACCAAAAATCGGACGTCGTCATCCGAATCAATAAAATTTACATTAGGAACACGCGCGGGTTATCCCTTCTCAAATACTCAATCACAAAACCACCACCAATACAACCAACAACAACAATACAATCACCAAATACCTCGTTATCCTAGCTCTAGTCCAAATCCAACAATCCTATCCCAAACAAATGCCCCAACCAAACCAAGAAATAACAACTACAATCGTGACGCAAACAAACTAAAATTAGACCCAGACCATTCACAAACGTATACACTAACGACTGGTTTTCGGTACAATAACAATAACAACAATAACTTTGACAAAACTAGCAATGCAAATCGAACGTATAGAATAGAACAACAACACCAAAAACATCAACAACAACAACAACAACAACAACAAAAATCGCATAGCGAACCAATTGACACGACCAAATCATATCGACAACAATCGGTTGCAATCACAAAGCCATCGGTGTCGTCAACCACAGACACTAACTATAACGAACATATTCGTGATGAGTCTGACCAAGAACAACGTAAAAAGTATTTAGATTTCATTGTGTCCGATAAACAGCCGCAAAGTTTTCAAGCACCGAGTAAAACGCGTGTCACCAGCACCAAACCATTATCTCCATCCGAAAAAGAATTAGTCAATGCCTTTGTAAATAGCCAATCGTCATTATTCATTCAATCCACTCCAAAGTCTCATGTTATTACCACATTACCAAATAAGCAAACCGAATCGCAGCCAATATCTGCCATTCACATACCATCATCACGTCTACCATCAAACGATACCTATCGTTTTTCCCTTACAACTGGCCTATCAAATGGAAAACGTAATCAAAATCGAAACCCCACCGAAACCGATGATGATCGCGATTCTGAACATTCCACCGATAACTATCAGCATGCAAGTCATGCTGAATCGGAAAATATTCCATTGTACGTGAGAAAACCACAAACAACGAATTCGATTGAATCAACGTTCAATTCCATTCATCCCACCGTCAATTCGATACATCATCATTCAACCAGCAACTCAATCACTCCATTGAAACATGAAATTATCGTTCCTACAACCTATTCGCCGTTGCGAAATTGGAAAATACAGTACTTGAAAAAACCCACTTTGCCTGGATCAGAGGTGTTCAATACAGTCGTCGATACTGTTGCCCCAGATGACATGAAGAAACTTATTTTTGGCCAACCGATCAATCGAACCAAATCAGAACCAAATCCATCGGCTGCACCGTCAATACATAGAGATGTTGTGGCGCCAAAATCGAAGACCGTCTCCAAGTTTTCATTCACTTTCGATGGCGACAAGGATTATGAACGGCCGTCAAAAACACAAAGTCGCCAGCCAACCAAATTTCCATCGCTTGAGTTCCGTGAACGATTGAATCGAACATTCGATACAACAACATCCAAACCACTCATATCACCCTATGCCAGCTTGCAAACCATTTTAGAAGACATCAAACCAACACAGTATCGCCCTTCGCTTGGATCATACAGCATTACCATTGGAAAGAATAACATTCAATCCAACCCAACGCCAAGCACCACCACAACAACAACGACGACGACAAGAGCACCACCAGCACCCACATCAAGCAGCTTCTTCAAAAGCTATTTTATTATTACAGCGCCACCAAAGAATACAACACAAAAGAATTATGTTTCATCAACACAAAGCACACCCGCTTCATACACACCATTCTCATCGTCACCGTCGTCAAGTACAACACCTATCTCAATCACAACAAATTACCCAACAGTTTCATCAACGGAACGACCATTTGAATGGACGCCAATTGCATCGTCTGTTTTCCCAAATCAACTTGTTAATAATATTCAGATTTTACCATCGGATGAACGATTCAGGCCAATGAGACCGTCCATCGGACAAATCGATATTACAACGGAGAAACCAATCATTTCAATCACAACATCCTTCCCACAAAAGTCAAACTATGATAATTATCTACAGCATTCGAGCATTCCAAATTCAGTGGTCAATGAGAATTTCCCACCGTATCAAACAACAACACCGATTTCAATTACAACATCTACGCCACAGTTTTCAGTATTCCCAAACCAAATAGATTCACAAGCGCCGCATGGACTTGCGTCACCATCTGGATTCTCGCCGATTCCATCGTTCCCACAGCAAGGAAGAGACCATTACCGAAAGGTCGTACGAATGCGATCGAAAAAGAAGCTAAACAATTCGGCCGGTGGACTGACGCCGGTCATTTTGAACCCAAATGTTCAGGAATTCACCGAAGATGATCCAGATTTGGATCAAATGAGAAATAACAATTTCATGAAGGCTGTGGAAAATGTGCTGTCCACCGAACAAAAGGTAGAACAATCGACAAAGGGCTATCGAAAACCGAGCAAGAGACCAACGACAAGAATACCAAATATACACGTTTCAGCAAATGAAGGGCTTCGACCGTCAAGCGGAAAGAATGTTCAATTTATGGTAGAAGATGATGGAAAACTCGTGAAATACACCGTGATGAATGACAATGTTGCGCCGACGAAATTCTTCTCCAACTATCGCCACGTGAAAGATGAAGAAGAACAGGAGAGCATAATTCATCATAGTTTGGGTGATTATATCAAAGATAGCCCGAAATATTCAATTGTTAAAGATGACGAAGAGCAAGAATCAAAACAACATGCCACACTCGAGGATTATGTAAAAGATGGAGCAAACCAAGCCGATGACATACCTGGAAGTACGGATGAAATTTTGAGTATAATGACCGATACAGAGGAACCAATACCATCGTCAACTGAATTGCATCCGGATGAACGCGAAAAATTCCGTGCAACCGTTGAAATGCCCGAATTTAATGTACCCACTGAATCGGAGATCAAATCTCGGCTCAAGCAGCTCGAGAGTGAAGCTGAAAAAGATGTCGAATCCGAATATCAGTACGAAACCACAACGAAAGCGGTGGCAACACGCAAATACTCCACCGATTTAGATTTAACAAATGAGACACACGAACGTAATCAAATTGACTATGAACCGCCAACGACACATATCCGTGACTTGACTTATGTACCGTTGACCGTGTTTGACCCAATGACAAGTACAACCATTCGAACAAATAACGATGGTATAACGACCTCGACACAAACGCGTTTGACAACTAGCACCACACAAAAATCCTATAGTTCAACAAATTCCGTACAAACGCTCCCGTCGCGCGCATCACGAGTCAATCCAGCGATCAAAACAACGATTGCGGGCACACCAACACGCCGAATGAATCCGCACACCACACCGGCTATCCGTTTCCATCAACATACCACTCCGATAGTCAAATGTATCGATGCCAAGTGCAACGAAATACCGTCGAGGTACACACACTTTAAGTGAAAAAAACAAAAAGAAAACATTTTACTGAAAATCGCACACAAATTATCCACCATCTACTCAAAATCTGCATTTTAATCTTTCAAAGCGGATTTTGAGAAAATCAAAACAAAATCAATCACTCTCTTGATTTCATTCTCTCATATTTTTTTTTTTACTTTTATAAAATTCGTTTGTTGTGGAAGATCGACCAAGGCTAAAACAATCGTTTCTCTGTTTACTATTTTGTTTATGTGTAACAAGTTAAAATTCTAACCACCCACACATACACACTCTCTGTCTCTCTTCAATTGATCGGCGATTTCTTGCAATCGACCAATTTTCATTTTGAATTTGGATTCATTTTGAATCCATTTCTTGACTCGCATTCTGCACCTGTCCTACGATCTCTTTTTTATTTACATAATTTTCGTGTTCATGGTTATTTTTTGTTGTTGTTTCCTTTTCTATTAAATCGATTAACGCATTTATTTTTCTCTCAGCACCGACACAATTCAAAGCTTTCAATAGGTTGCACTGTTCAGTTTATTTTTTTGTACTAAGTTTCCAAGAGATAAATGTCGCGAAATTACACTTCTTTGTTTCCAAAATAAGTCGACATAAGCAATCCAAAATATTATGTAATGAAAAAATGTAATGAAATGTCAGCAAAACCATTCCGAATGAACTGGTTCCGGGCGATTCGATCTTTGATCGCATGTGCGCGGCTGGAGAAAATCAAACATTTCCCCCTCTCATCACACACTCTTCTCAAAAATGTCTCCTCCTTCTCGATCCTTGTTTTTCATCGCTACTGATCATTTGTACACAAAATACACCTGATTGCATCGCTAAACCGATAAAAAAACAAATCTTAAAATATCTTTGCACCGATTCACTTGTTCTTTGATTCCGAATATAAACATATGCATTGTATATGCAACGTTCACCCATATTTGCAAAATAGATAGTTATCTTTTTTTTGTCAAAATTATTGTGTTACTAATTTTAAGCTTCATCTCATCAACTGATGTATATTTTCGGGCTAATGGGTGTCATTAATTTGTTACTTGTGTAGAATTATGTAGCCTAATTGCTGTAAATACTAACGATTACTTTATCTAATTTTGCTTGCACTTTATTTTTGCTTTACTTGGTGATGGCTAAATTCGTCGATTAAAAAAAAAGAATTTGAAATTGTTTTCTTTGAATTTTCTGTTGAAACCAAATTTTCTCTTTAGTTTATCTGAAACGATATTTTTTTGGTTCGTTTATTAATCGTTTGCCTTGTTGTAAATTGATATATATATATATAGAACAAATAACCGAAATCGCGGTAGCTCACACTACACATCTGGCGGATATGACGATCGCACTCCTTCTGGTCCAACCTCTAATCGCGGCACACATCCACCGTAAGTTTTTTTCGCTCGAAATTTGCAACCCTTTTCACAGAAATGCCATTTCAGAGATGAAATGCTTAAATTTTTTCCCAACTCTGAGTATTTCTTCTCTTTTTTCCACTGAAAAACTACTTTAATTTTCATTTGCAATATTTTAAATAGAGCAATTTTCTTCTCATTCTCTGTCTCTATCACATCACATAGATAGCCAAATTCGAATCTTAAATAACTTATTTCAATACATTTTAATTAAATTTATTTAATTTTTTCACAATTATTTTCGTTCAATTGCTATTAAAATTTGGAAATTGCATTAAACAGTCGTATACGTCCAACATTGAAACCATCTGGATCAATTGTTTCCAAAGCAACTGAATTTGTTGACATTTACCGCAATCCACCAACACGCCCAGAACCATTGTATCCACAACCAATTCCAGATAAAACGGCTGCTAAATGTCGCAAAGATGTTTGCTTGTTGCCCGATTGCTACTGCGGCGGTAGAGACATTCCAGGTAAAATTTTCATTTACAAACATATTAAATATTATGATAAATTTAATTTGACGAAAAAAATAATTTTCTTTTTTTCGAGGAGTCCATTGTTTTTAGAAAAATTTTGTTTCAAGGAACACTTTTCCCAAAAAGAGAATTTCCGCAGATTTTTTTTTTTCAAATCTTGACTTCAAATAATATCCAACACAAAATTAGTTTCAAATTGATTTGAATTGAAAGTTTGAATTGTTTTTGAGAGAACAAAGAGCGATGCGTAATTTCATGAGTCATAAATCATGACCTTCTTTCTCAAATTGATCGAAATTGCGTTCATAAAACAGTAGAAGGAAAGGAAAATGCGTAAAATTATTTTTAAAGAAAAGTAAAACACATTCGTGTTTCATGAATTTTGTAAACACAATTATTAGGAGGAATACCAGCATATCAAACACCGCAAATAGTGCTGTTGACGTTTGATGATGCCGTTAATGATATAAATAAAGAGATTTACGTCGATCTATTCCAACGCGGTCGCACCAATCCGAATGGGTGTCCAATAACGGCGACGTTTTACGTGTCGCACGAATGGACCGATTATTCTCAAGTGCAAAATTTGTATGCTGATGGTCACGAAATGGCATCGCATACCGTGTCGTAAGTAGATTTGTTCCAAAACAACAACAAAACCCAAGGAAAAACCTGATGCGATACTTTGCTCCGTCATCTCTCTTACATACACTCTCTCTCTCTCACTCTGCCTGCCTGTCTCTCCTAGTACAAATGTAACCTCAATTTAATGAAAATCGTTTTTCTGCCAAAAAAAACCAATTAATGGATCATCGTTTCGCAGCTCTTATTAGTCTAGATGTATTCTTCGATGTAAAATGTTTATCATAAGGCTGATTTATATTTATCTCGTGCATATTTATTGTTAATATTTCGGGCGACTGTAACTGAACCGTACATTTTATTTAATTTCATGTGCATTTAACCCATCTTCCTGTACTTCAAAACCAAAAAAAAAAACCAAAAACCCTATCTGACATGAAACCGACACACAATCAATCGAATGCAAATCACACAATCACACAGGCGATATGCCTGTTGAAGATGTCCCACAAATCGTTTTATTGACATTTGACGATTCGGTGAATGATTTGAATAAGCAATTGTATTCGGATCTGTTTGGTAAGGGACGCGTCAATCCAAACGGATGCCCCATTTCAGCCACATTCTACGTTTCACACGAATGGACCGACTACTCACAAGTGCAAAACTTGTACTCCGACGGACACGAAATGGCATCACACACTGTATCGTAAGTTGAAATTGAATGAACACTTCTTTTTTCGGCACGCGCCGACACCGTGACACACACACGCACGCACACGCTTCGACGCCACATACACAATTCTACTGTCAAGACACACATCATTACATATCACACAAATACTCAACACGAAACATTCAACTCAAACTACGCTGATACACTATTCCATTATTTCGACACCTTGCATAACTCTATTATTTTTTTATTTTCACGCCAATTTCTATAACCCTCTTTACATTAATCAACAAAACACAAACACACACACACATTCCACACGAATTTCCACACTGCACTAACAAATTACACTCAATGAGTATCGCTTCACTGAAACACATGCTTTCCTTTCTTCAAATGCCAACAAAAGTGAATGATTTATTAATCGATCGATGTGTGTTTTTTTCTTCAATTTTTTCGTGGAAATAAAGGCATAGCTTCGGAGAGCAGTTCTCGCAAAAGAAATGGACAAGAGAAGTGGCTGGTCAACGTGAAATTTTGGCCGCTTACGGTGGCGTTAAATTAAACGATGTTAGAGGCATGCGAGCACCATTCTTATCGATCGGTGGAAATAAAATGTTCAAAATGCTGTACGACTCGAACTTCACCTATGACTCATCGATGCCGGTCTATGAAAATCGACCACCTAGCTGGCCATACACATTGGATTATAAGATTTTCCACGATTGCATGATTCCACCGTAAGTTATTTTCACTGAAAAACTTTTTTTTTCTCCATAGGCAATATTTTAAATGATACATTTCCTTCGCATTTTCTGTCTCTTTTAGTTGTCCCACCAAGAGTTATCCAGGTAAGTGCAGAATGATTTTAACTAATTGCTCTATGAATAATGATAGAAAAAGAAATTGCTGAATCATGACAAAACGCTCATAGTTCGCGTAGCAGCTTGTAAATTAGATTCAAAATGAAATAACATGCAAATTGCTCTGTTTACAGGTGTCTGGCAAGTGCCGATGGTGATGTGGCAAGATTTGAACGGTGGTCGTTGCTCAATGGGAGACGCCTGCTCGAATCCACCAGACTCCGATGGAGTTGTTAAAATGATTATGAAGAATTTTGAACGACATTACACAACCAACAGGTATGTGTTTGATTGGAAATACTCCAAAATCGAGTTTTCGAATGATTTTATATCCCCTTTTCAATTTCATTACAGAGCTCCATTCGGTCTCTTCTACCATGCCGCCTGGTTCACACAACCGCATCACAAAGAAGGATTCATCAAATTCTTGGACACAATAAATGCGATGAATGACGTTTGGATTGTAACCAATTGGCAGGCATTGCAATGGGTGCGCGATCCAACGCCACTCTCACGCATGAACTCCTTTCAACCATTCCAGTGTAACTATCAGGATCGACCAAAACGCTGTAACAATCCAAAAGTGTGTAATTTGTGGCATAAGTCTGGCGTGCGATACATGCGAACGTGTCAACCGTGCCCAGAGATCTATCCATGGACGGGCAAAAGTGGCATTCGATCATCACGCGTTGACAATGACATCGACGAATAGACACCGTCCATTTTCATTTAGACTGCCGTACACATTAATTTAAATTATTTTTTAATTGAATTCAAGATCTTTGTTGAGTTCGGAGTTCGAATAGCCACAAAAATACACACGCAGAGAGACAACAAAGTCCCATAGATCATTGTCATTCGCATTAGAATTTATGTAGTGGAGGCGATGAGAAATTTTAATTTTTTGAAGTAAATATTGGAACAGTAAGGAACAAGCAAAAAAATAAAAACAGAAACGACACACAAATCGAATACTCAAATATTTTAGCGCACAAAATTTTTATTTATTTTCGTCGAAATCAAAGGAATCATAGAAAAAAAATGAGTCGCATGAGAATTTTACGGTGAAAGAGGACCGGATTTTTTTTTTCGAAGTGAAAAGCAAAAAAGGAAAAAAAAACAAAAAACGAATGAAAAAAAATGCATAAGAAATAAGTTGAGTAATTAATTTATTTGATAGATATGTGATATTATGTACTTCTTCAAAACTACCAGCCTTTCTCACGGTTAGAAAGCACCTCCCTACATTGCCCCACATTCCAACACATTCCGTTCAATTTATTCAACACCATTCCAGTTTTTTTCTCCTCTTTATATTATTTTTTTTTGTTTTTTTTTTGCGCAAATTTCTAGATTTTCAAACAAAAAAGTAAACGGTTTTTATAAGTTCTTCCTTTTTTCGTTCTCTTTTGTCCTTTTTTTGAATTTGAATTATTGTGACATATAAATAGCATAGAAAAACTTTCGTACAGCAATAGCTGCAAAGCTAGAATCAAGGGAAACAAGAATAATTCCAGTTCCCAAATTGACGCAGACCATCAAAACCAGAGACGTCATTTTGATTGTGTGCGTTGATTCGAGGCGAACCATGTTATATTTTATTGCAAAGTCTTTGAATCAGATGATCATGAAACCACTCGAAACAAAACTAATAGTTCTACATTTCATGTAGCGTTAAAGACAATCTGGAGCAACCAATCAATCCACATGCAGTGCAATAAAATTCGTTGATTTTTTTTTGTTTTGTTGATGTGGCACAAACAAAAGGCAACAATGATATTAATCTTGCTTACCAATAGAAAATAAACAAGTTAGAAAATAGATGGACGAAATGGAAAACAGAATCAATTTAGAATTATTATTTTTCTCGAATGACACGACACAAGATGGAGCAAACATGAAAGTGAGTGCAGTAGAACCAATGCAGAAAAGAGAGAAAAAAGGAAAATGTGTCGGAATGCAAAATTCTTCTAGTTATTAACGATGTCAGGAACATCACAACGAATTGAGAGAAACAAAAAAAAAAACAAACGAGTAATAAGTCTTTTCATACGTCTTTTAGCTGCTGTAAGGTTTTCAAAAGCTTACTCAAAGGACAAGGTTTCGCACATTTGCAAACGCATTCGGTTTTTAGATTTGCAAGAGTCTAGTTTTGGAGATGTTATGTGTTGGGTTCGTCCACCAACCGCGATGATTTTCAGCATTTTCGTCCTATTGGAAATGATTGAACAATCAAGAAAATCCACTTAGTGGCAGACAACACATACACCGACGGAAGAAAATGAAATTGACTTAGGATTTTTGCCAATGAAAGTCTGAACTTAGTTGAATGGCAAATAAAAAAGTGAGGAAGGAAAGAAGAAGAAGAAGAACGCAATTATTCGCAAGAAAATGGTTTCTCTCTCTCTCTCTCTCTCCCCCTCGATAGCATGAAACCTTGTTGTTGTAGCGAACGCAAATTTAAGGAAAAGATAAATCGAAATCAGATTTCTTTAACATTTATACGAACTAGTGACATTAATTTAATTTCCATTTTTGACTTTGAAAAATTTCTTTGACTTAATTTAATTGAATACCGCTTAATCGAATCGAGTTTTTTTTTGGCTCCTTTCTTCACAAGAAAAGAGCCACGAAAGAAAGAGAAACAATTCCACACTTTTTTCCAATGTTAAGAAAATTATTCGATGGATAGTGACAGAAAATCATTTAATTAAGCTGCATGTTCTATGTTTATTTCTTCTTTTTTTTTCTGAGTTGTGCGTGCGTCTGGTTTGGAAGAATGAGTGTGAGCAACAATATACCTATTACTTATTTAGATTTAAGCCAATTGCAAATTTTAGCTGGTAATTTTAATCGTTTTCACTTTTCATTTAAGCGAAATCTGTCATTAAGCTAAAATCTTCGAAGGAATAGAAAGCAACAACAACAACATGTAATGTTTAAGTTTGTCAATAAATGTAATTTTATAAAAAAAAAAATCATGGCATTTTTTCTGTTCGATCGCATTAATCTCTAAGAAATCGATAAAATACTGTTTGATATTGAATTGTTGGTGCCCGAAAATGTGTTATGCTTTGCGGCGTAGAAGAAGTAGGTAAATGATGAAATTCATAACATTATTACACGATTGAAATTGAAATACCAAGCTGTGCCCTATTTTCTGTCGTCTCTCACACTGCGTTTTGATTGTTTCTCGCGTCTGACATTTATGAATTATTCCTGACTCAATTCGATGGAAGTGCGCAAGAAGTGTTCATTCAATTTTCTTATGGAATTTCAAATGATGGTATATAAAGGCAATCATCGGCGATATCATAATTCATTTCGTGCAGTCGACGCGTCTATGATGCACGTTCGAAACAAGGTGTTCATTTTAATCGCAGCTTTTGCAGGGTTCAGTCTCACTGGAGTATCGACATCATTTCATTATGGCAACGATTTTATCGTCACTTCGAATCGAGACGATGGAGCCATTCCAGACGATTACTTGAGCAACGATACATTGAGAGTGGCAAAACGATTTTATCGCGATTATTCGATGAATATGAGTGATGTGATAGTTCGTCGAGTGAAACGTGATGAGGCCACATTTTATGGCCATCCAAAAACGAGAGAAGAACGATGGCATACCAATTTCAATCTCAACAAAACCAATTTTCAAGCACAATCGCTTGTGAACCTACTCGTTAAAGTTATGGATAAGTATTTGAATTCCTGTATTCCAATCATTTTATACGATCACCACGTTGAATCGGTCGAAGGGATTCTGCTACAGACATTCTTTAAGGTAAGTTTTATATTTACGGTTTGGCTTTAACGTACGCGTTTGATTTTCGTTTGCGTTTCATTCTTTTCAAACGTTTGGTTAAAATCTTCAAAAGGCTTAAAAAGTGAAGACGTTGTTTTCATTGCCGATTTTTTTTATCTCATCATTTTTGTTGATTGTTAGGCTATTAAAATATCATATTTACATGGGATGATCAACATGAATTACTCTGTGATAAATCAGGATCTGCTTAAGCCAAACGACAAAAGTTGTCGCAGTTACATTGTATTTTTGTCGGATGTGTTGCGGACACGTGAAGTGCTCGGCCCTCAAACAACAAATCGTGTGGTTTTAATACCAAGATCAACGCAATGGAAACTACAAGAATTCTTATCCTCAAAACAAGCCAGTGATCTTGTGAATTTGCTTATCATTGGTGAGTCTTTAACGTCTGATCCGTCAAAAGAAAAACCGTACGTTTTGTACACGCACAAACTGTACACGGATGGTTTGGGCTCAAATTCTGCAAAAGTATTAACATCATGGGTGAAAGGGAAATTATCACGGCCCAACGTGAATTTGTTCCCGAGAAAGTTTACCAACGGATTTTCATCACATCGATTCATGGTGGCTGCCATTGAGCAACCACCATTTGTCCTCAAAGCTCTTTCGACTGATATCACCGGCAATACTCGCATCGATTGGGATGGCTATGAAATTCGATTGTTAAAATTGATGGGTGATCGCCTCAATTTCAGTATTCAAATTATGGAACCGGAAGAAATCAGTGAACTTGGGTGAGGTTTTTGAATTGAAGAAAATTCATTTTGATTTTCATTTTGATTTCAATCATAATTAGCATTAATTGCAATACTTTTTTTTCAACATCATTTTTTCAACCACATAAGCAAATAAACTGTATTATTTGAATTCCAGTCGAACGTATAGTGTGATTGATTTGGTTGAGTCCCATAGTTCTGATATCGGTTTGGCGGGTGCTTTCATGTCGAACGAACGGATGTTACGCATTGAAATGTCGCTACCACATTCAACGGACTGTGCAGCATTCATAACATTAGCATCAAAGGCACTACCCCGTTACCGAGCCATCCTTGGCCCGTTTCAATGGCAAGTGTGGGTTGCAATCATTTTTACCTATATTTTTGCCATTTTTCCACTAGCATTCTCGGATCGACTCACTCTAAGCCATTTGATCGGCAATTGGGGTGAAATTGAAAATATGTTTTGGTATGTGTTTGGCACATTTACAAACAGTTTAACGTTTACTGGTGAGTTTTACATTGATATTGTGTTTTTCAAGATGAAATTTTCATGTAGATATTTTTAAGGTGAATTTTCCTGGTCCAATACAAAAAAAACTAGTACACGAATGTTGATTGGTTAGTGAATGACATTTTTACAATAATTTCATGGTGATTTTCATCGATTTAATTGAATTGCAGGTTGCTATTGGGTTTTCAGTATTATAATAACGGCATGTTATACCGGATCGATCATTGCCTTCGTCACTTTACCCGTGTTCCCCGATTTCATCGATACTCTTGATGATTTGATATATGGATTTTATCGCATCGGGACATTAAGTTGGTTTATTTTTTTAAAAGAAATCATTGTGTTTTATAACGGTTTTTCTATGAAATGTGAATGTAGGCAAAGACGGTTGGCAATACTGGTTTCAAAATTCAACCGATGAAGATGCACGAAAATTGGTAAAAAGTCTGGAATTTGTGCAAGATATCGAAGAAGGTATAGGCAATGTAACAGGAGCATTCTTTTGGGGATATGCCTTCCTTGGATCAAGAGCCCATCTACAGTATATTGTGACAAATAACATATCAATGGAGTAAGAATATTTGGATTTTTAATTCTTTCTTAAATGAAAAAAAAAACGTTTAAAAATAAATTTTTACAGTGAAGTCGGTAAAAAATCCACTTTACACATCGCTGAACAATGTTACTCATCATTCGGTGTGTCCATGATGTTTCCGCACAATTCCGTTTACGCAAAGCTGTTTAATGATATAATTTTGAGCTTTGCGCAAAGTGGCTTAGATTTGAAGCTAGCCAACGATATGGCCTGGGATTTGCAGCACAGTGACGCACAACAATTGATAGAATCAACCAAATCGAAATCTTTTAGCATGGATGCTGTTGTGGAGCGCAAATTGAACTTGGCCGATACAGAGGGAATGTTTTTGTTGATGGCAATTGGATATATTTTGGCTGGAAGTGTGCTGTTTTCAGAGATAGTCGGCGGTTGCGCCAAGTCATGTCGCACCTTTCTCCGTCGAAACTCACAAGTTTCGCAAAGCGATATGAGACGTGGCAGTGAGTTTTCGTTGAGTCGAATCGAAGCCGAAGAACCGAAAATGTTTTCGGAAAAATTGAAGAGGGGAATTCGAAGACGCTTACGATCGAAACCGAAGCCAGTGGAAGAGCCAAAGGATGAAAGTAAACCGAAGGAAATAGTAGAGCCAAATGGTACGGATGGTAAATCTGAGCTAAAGGAACCAGAGCTTAAAGGGTCCATGTCTTTTTGTACCCTGAAACGTATTATGCTGATGCGGAAGAAACGAAAAGAGGAAAAGAAGGCTCAGATAGAGGAGAATAACGTGATTGGTGTGGCGGAAGACGAACCGACCAAAAGCAATTTCGAGAATTATCTGGATTTTGAGCAAGGCCCCATCGGAGGTGAACAAATCACAATTGAACATGAAAAAAGCAATGGCGATTCCGGTGATGGTGCCAGTTTGCTTGGATCATCATCAGTCTACTCAGAATCACATATTATGAAAAAAGAAACCGAAGCCGAAGTGAATCAACTCACGGTTTCGGATCGTGAGAATAATCCTTCGAAGGAGTTTGGCGACATTGTTTAACCAAAAAAGAAACAATCGATGTTAGCTTTTACGTAGTTACGTTTTATTGGATTTTAAATGCATTTTTCAAAATGTTCACAATATTTCCCCGTGACAATGCACGTGTTAAACGGTCAAATGTTATTTACCAATTGTTTTTGTTTTCACATCATTTTTTGTGTGCTACACTCAATACGTTTACTTTACAGATGCGCCTTTATTCAATATAATGAACAAATTTCACTTACTTAAAATCAATACAGGTATATGAATCAACTGAGTGAAAAATGGATCCCAATTCTAGTATATTACAATTTGTAACTAGGAAAAGAAAAACGAATTCAGGCTAAATTCATAATTTAATAAATGTATGCTTAAAAGTTAGAATAGATTCAATAAATGTTTACCATGTAATTTGCAAATTGAGTGTTAACCATATCAACGAAGAAGTAATTAGTCAATTATTTATAATATATCGACATTTGCCAACATTTCAAAATGATAGAATAAGTGAATAGGCGTCCACAGATTGAACAAAATTATTTGCTTGATACATCCTGGATGAATGAAGGTATTTATGCTTTTGTCTCTCACTCAATCGAAATATTTGGGTAATATATGAATGAACGTGTAAACCTTTTTAAATTAAAACCCACAACTTTAGTTCTAAATAATCGAACAATGCGCAATTCCACACCTTATCTTTTTTGTTTGTTCTTTGGCTATTTTCTATTGGCTGCTGTTTATTTTTTTCTCGTTTTTATTTTCTCTTTTCAAGTAAACTCTCTGGCTCTTGCTTCGTTTCTAAGGTCTATTATTGCATGAAAATCTTTCAATATGAAAATATCGTTTGGTGGCTACTATTGTGTGTGTTTTTTTTTATTTTCGTTTAAATTTTCTTCTGGTTCGTATTACTTATGACTTACGTTGGTGTTTTCGGATGGCCAAAAAAAAAATTTACTCTCGGTTATTTTCAATCATTACACTAAATACTCTTTTTGTTTTGTTGTTATTTGTTGTTTAACGATTTTTTGTGTTTGTTTTTGATATTCTCTAAAAAAATGAGAGAAAAGTCTGCGTATCTTTTTCAAAAGGCACATACAAGCAAATGTGTGGCATATTTCGTTTTGTGTTGTTTTGGTTTTTTTTTATGATTTTCGTTTTGTTCACTGTTTTTGATGAGATTTTTTTTTTTGATGAGTTTTCAACTTAAAAGCCATATAAATTGTAATATGTATTTGATGTTTTGTCAAACGTAAGTACTTCGTTTGGACGATGATTTCGAAAATTGAGTTAATTTTTCATGATTTGCTTTACTTGGTTATTGATGGTGGGGAAAATATACGTATTTCAGAGACACTCGATTAATTTTAATTCGTAGATTCAATCGTTTGAAAGAGAATCAAATCAGAGAGTTAATTCATCATGAACCAGTGGTTTATTGAACCACTCTCTCTCTCTGGCTTCAAATATTGATTGGTGATTGAATACAAACAGTTCCGACTGTAATGCGATTGAAACACGCAATTGGCATATTAAGTTAACCGTTTTGGTCATTGGCCAATGGGCAAAGCTGTAGTTTTCCCTGCTTTTTAATATGTCTTCTATTCATTTACACTTCCAGTTCAAAATAGGATACTTCATTTAGAACCAAATGCTCTTTTTTTTTATTTAAATGTAACGTTATTTGGAATTGTTTTGTTCCATGTATTTAAATGTATTATATGCACCGTTATGAATAAAACAGCGAAAAATATGTTTCTTTGCTTTTTTTTATGTAGAAAATGTTTGGTTATGATATATTGATGTAATTGGAGTATTTGTTTTTATTGTATGTGTTCAAACCATCGATTTATGGAGGTTTTCCGTTTAAATGATACAGATTGTTTAAATCCAATTTTTTGCACTTAAAAACGGTGTATTCCCAAAATCAATTTCAATTTATGGGTTCGATGCGACATTCTAACCGCTTGAAAAAAACATAGAGTTTTCTGTAAAAAAAATTTAAATTATAATAAAAACAGAAAATATTCTTAAATAAAGAAAAGACATTACTGACACTGAAAAGAATATATAATTTTTAGACATTCATATTTCGAAGAAAAAAAAAAGGTTAAAAAAGTTGAAATAATAAAACAAAAGAGTGTTTGATTTCTGTATATATATACGATGTGTTTAAAATGTTCTTTATTTTGTAATTTTAGTTTTGTGTACACACGTTTCGGCTTTTTATCGTATCTGAACTGCAAAATTAGTCTAATGTGTCTAATGTTGCCTTGATGCTCTGTCTCTTTGCGTTCAATTCAGATGCATTTATCATTCTTAAGTCAAGCTACAAACAAGGATCATAATTTCTACATACTTATTTCCTTAAGCAAAAAAAACAGAAATCATTCAGACCATTTCTCTGTGTGTGCCGGCACACGCCGACCCAACCAAAGAAAATACCCGATTTAAAAATTGTATTTATCAAATGATTCTTGCACTTCTGAATCTATACGTAAAGGTGTATTCATACAATGCACATACAAGAAGTATGTTGACTTTTGTATGCTAATCAAATTGCTTACGGTCAATTGGATTTGTCCATTCCATTTTCAGTTTTGGCAGTGAATACTGGTTTCATATATATCTTGCAATTTCATCATTGTTTCCTTGCATGCTCCTCTATTTTACAACGTTGATTATATTGTTCCATATATCCTATTCATTTAAATTACGATAAAAATTGAAAGTGTGTACGCGATGCAAAACGTCTGTACAGAATCTGAGGACCTGAATTTTTCCACAAAGGTTTGGGAAAACGAGTTCAAAAGCCAAAAATTTCATTCTTTTGTGCATTCATTTCTCACGTTTGCTTCAAAAAAAATGTATCCAACTTTTTGACATCAGGGTCTCAACTTAGCTACCGCTCGCTTACGTCACAAAGACTTTCCGCTCTCTACCATCCAATGATCTTACTAATAAAATAGCGCGATTTATTTTGTTTACTTTTTGGTGGCTATATCGATTCATTCCGGACGCACTTTTTGCCGACAGAAATGAAATGTTGCTGTTGTTTGTCTTCTTCTTTGATTTAGTTGTGATTAAATTGTAAAATTACGTGCCAAAATATTTTGCTACTTAAACTTAATGGCCGAGCGAAAAGCAACCAACGAACATAATTCTTTCGATGAAAAATGCTCGCTCTGCTCGGTTTTATGCACAGAAAAGTTCGTTTAGTTTTTAACTAAACACATAAAAAGCTTATGCTTATCTCGATTGATTTTTACATAAAAATTTTAACTCATAATTTTTTGTTTCATTCAAATATAAACTAAGAAAAAGCATTTGTGATTCAAAATGAAACGATTTCGGATGAGGTGTGTTAAACTAAAATTCGATTCTCTTGTTTAGTTGTGAGATCAAACAGAAGAAGAAAGGAATTAGTTGAGTTGAGAATAAGATTTTGGACAAACGAAGGTAAATGTTTTTTGTCTTTCATGCGAATTTTTCATTCATCTCCAAATTCGCTAGGGTCGAACGTTCGCAAAGTATATTTGCTATAATTACACGCACGTTATGCTTCTTATTTCAATAAAAATCCCACTTAGACACCTAAAACGTGTTCGGTAACAATATATTGTTTATCTGCTAAATCTAATTGCTGAACCGTTCATTTTGCTTCTCTTCAAATGAATAATTGGATAGAGACTGTTTAAATATTTGTTTTGTCTGTGTTTGAATCGTAACAACTACGATTAAGATGCTTTTCTTATGTGCTAAATATTCGATTCGATTTGATTGTAAAAATCGTTCTTATACTTTAGTATCGGTCGAATATGTGGTCGATTTCAGACGAATTGAATATACAATGTTCTACATAAATCTCTATCTTTTTTGTTATGTTTTATTCGTGAAGGTGCATGTATATATATATTAGTGCATGTGTATAACTTATATCTAAATGCAATTTTTTCCCTCTCTGTTATAGACAAATAGAACATTGAACGATGAAAACGAAAAGAAGGAAAGAAATAAATAAAATATTTAAATATGTCTGTGTAGCATAGATAAAATTATCGATTGAGGGATCGGATGTATATGTGAATGAGGTGAGAAAAAATGTTTCGTCGTTTTCAGTCGCCTTTAACTGATCAGGCATTCATCAGGTAGTGTGAATGCGTGCAAACTGTTTGATTTTTATTTAAGATGCAACCGGTGTCTCTTTCTGTTGATTTGGCTGCTGAGTAGATGAGATGGCATTCGGCGGCGTTATCGATGGTGGCGGAAGCGGTTTTGATAGCACAAATTTGTCGTAGATGTCCATCAATTCTTTGAGTCGATACTCTTCTAAGCACACAAATCCTTGTAAATTCGCCGCTTGCTTGCGAGCACAACTTAAACAGTGGACGACGTGACGCTTCTCTTGCTCACGAATGAAGAGAATGTTAAAGACTTCAACCTGCAAGGTGAAAGAAGATGTGATTAAATAAATGGAATAGACTGTTTTCATGAGATTGCTGACTACTATCAATGTGGCTGTTGTTCACTTTTTTTTTTCTTTTATGTTTCTTTCTTTATGAAAATTTTGAGTTTGAAATTGAATCAAAATTGAAAAAACTCACAGATCGAAAATGAATTGAAACTAAAACCTAAATGAACGCTGATCAAAGATATGAATAAAAAAAACTTACTTCACACTGTCCGCAGTAATGCGATGCTTCATTTTTGCCGCGACCATGGAAACGGATCTCGACTCCTTTTGCTTTGACATACTCCACTGTTGCCATTACAAATCTCAGAGTTTGCATCAAACATGTTCTGTAAATGAAATCGAAATGATAAGTAATTTGAATTGGGACCTTTTGACTGAAATCAAAGTGCAATAGAGTGTACGTAAATTTCCGAAAAATCATATTCTTGAGACTGATTTTAAAAAGTATGGAAAAAAAAGTAAAAAGATGTCGATTTGTTTGACCAGACAGGTGTTATATTCCGAATGAAATGTCAAAATATAACGTTTAAAAGTCGAAATTTGATCTGGCATCTTGGTTAGTAGTCCGAAATGAGGTAAAATCGAGATTTTTCATTAGCGGACCGTGGAGTGAAATCAATGCCATGAACGTTGCAAGCAAAAAGTTGAAATGATATCAAAACGACTACTCACCTAATTAAATCAAACAGCTTTGGGTCGGACACTTTGATGTTTCGAGCTAAATTCCAGCTCAAATGGACCATTGGAACGATGCTTTTGTAGCTCTCAAGCTTGTTCCACTCGTATCGTTCGATGCCAAGCTGATACTGTCGTGCTGTTAGTGGTCCAACATTCCATGCGATATTGTTGCACCATCCAACGGCCTGCACCCAATGTACACAGCCGGCATTGACCCAAACTAAATCACCCGGTCGTTGAATGAATCGATAAACGGGGATATTCGCTTTATAGAGATCATCAAGTACGGGCCACCATGAACCGTGCAAGTAGTTCAAGTTGTTCTTCTCACACAACGCTTGAATGCCACCCCAATACGAGTCTGGCACAGCGAACCACTCACAGTCACCGGGCCCGATGTTTATGTTGATCGAACAGAAGTTGTTATTCTCTTGATGGCCTGGTGTTCGCGATCCGGGCACTTTCATGTACAATTGAACGGTATTCATGCCCAAAATCACATGGCCAACATGTGACAACATGTTCGCAGCTGATACAACACGCGCGAATGCCGGCAGCTTTTGTAGCTCTTGCAATTGCGGCCGCCATTTTCGCTCATCTGATAAGTCTACATTTGTACCAAACCTGATCAAATGGATAAAAAATATTGATTAATACATTTCGATGGATCATTTTCGATCGTAAGATCAATTTGAAACAGGGAATAATTTAGAAATTTGTTGAAAGCCCTACTATCAAACTCCATTCAACGAAATAAGAATGGTGTTAGCGAAAAGCTTCATACAGTTTATTCTGGCATTTTAGCCATGCCAGTTCAAATATGAATCATTGAACTAGCTATGAAAAATGCCGTTTTCAAAATACGGAACAATGATGAAAAGTGCATTTACCTCAGCATTTTATTGCCGTTCCTCACTCGCTTCTTTCTGCCATTTGAACTGTTGTTCAATGAGTCTTTGGAGTCTGAGTCGCTGAAATTGTGAATGCCCGACGTTTTGTTGTCATGGTTTTCCTCCTGCAATCAGAGAATTTGTTGCCATTAGTTACACAGAAAACATGTTGTATGCACATTTTAATGGTGAAATGAAATAAATCAGAATAATTAGCTCTACATGGTCCATTTCAGTAGAACGAAAGTTAATTAATTTGTTTTATTCATCATTTGAGTTCGGTTTTTTTTTCTCGTTGAATGTTAAAATAACATTGTAATGTGAACGTACTTTTAAGCTATCCTGGAAGCTGGATGCCTGGTAGTTGGCATATTTAGCGATTGTCGTGTGCGACCGATGTGATATGCAAGCCCACACGCGCTTTCCTTGGGTGTTGTCCCAATTTTCGTCTGGTGATTGATGCACCTGTGTCCTCACTTCGACACTGTGATCTGGATTGGCTTCGACCAACGTCTTTGTTGAGAACAAACCCAAATCTGTTGGACAAATGAATGTGAAATTAATTGATATCCACACAAAAAATGTAAAAAAAAATGATGTGTATGCGCTTCAAGGAAATTCTTTCTCTTCTTTCATTCGTTCAAGTTTGAAAATTCAAGAAGAAATATGAAATGTTGCTAATAGATAGCTCTGATCAATCTATTGAAACAGAATATCAGAGTGCAATTTAGCGATTTTGATCTACCAAAATGAAATTAAACAATCGAATTGAACGGATTTCGATAATCAATTTCACTTTGGATGAATATGTTGAAGTTTTATATCGAATTTGCGCAATAAATTCAAAATTGAAACATCTAAAAGCGAAAATTGCGAAATTCGTTGTGAAAACTTACCCAATTTGAGAACCGTTGCCATTCCTCGGACGACAGCAATTGGATGCTTAAGGCAAAACTCTTGGAGTTGCGGCGAAAAGGCATGTTTCTTGTTATCCAAGTGGACAGAAGGTGTGGGAGGCAATAGTTGTTCGCGCATTAGACGCTGTGGCGGACAATCGGGCGGTGCTGGCGGTGGTGCATCACACGATAGTATCGAGCATGGTGCCGGTGGTTCTTTGCTATCCATTGATCTGTAATCAAATGAGAAATTCATTTTAGACTCTTTGGAAATGAATCAAAAGTTCGAAATTTTTGGATGAGAATAGAATCAGTATGATGTTATACGTTCAACACGAACTGTTCAGGAGAACGAAAGTTTGTAAATTCATCATTTGAAAATAGAAAAAAATTGTAGAAATTTCATCAATAATTCTTACCTAACAGCTTCTTGAAGTTGCTTGGAGCCCATTTGAGTGTTGAAGCTGACCTTTCGATTCGTTTCGTAAATGTTTTCAATCTTCAGAACTGGTTCGTTCTTCAGATCACTCGGTGACCTCCTGCTCGTTGAAGTCGCCTCGCATTTGATCGGCCGCTGACTGTGGAAATTCGTGGTTGAGTCAGCCACAACAGCATTTCGATCATCCTCAACCTCTTGCTTGATATTTGAACCGAATTGCTTTAGCAAATTCTCGGCAAGCATTGTCTTGGAGTCATTTTGCGATAAAATTGCCTGAATGTCATCCGGTTTGGTTTGTTGCATTTGCATTGGCATTCCAACGTTTGCTATTCAATGGGTAAATGAATGAAAAAAATTGTCAGTACATCAAATATCAAACCAAAGTTGGAAAATGTAAAAAAAAAACAAAATAAGGATTTATTTTTTCCCAAAGTATTCAATGGAATTGAAAGAGAAAGACGATTGAAAAAAATTTGAGTAAAAAAGGCATGCGCCGGGTGAAAAAGTGAGGTTAGACCGACTTACCGTTTTGGCTGTTCGGCATGGGTGGTTGGTAGCCTTGCTGCATATTTGGTGATGTGATTTGTTGTTGGCCCATTTGCATTTGCTGTTGCTGCTGGTGCTGTTGTTGTTGTTGCTGCTGTTGTTGTTGTTGCTGTTGTTGTTGTTGCTGTTGCTGCTGAAGGCGGATTTGTTGTTGATGCTGTTGCATCATGCGTAGGTTGTTCATAAGCTGATTGAGCATTTGAAGCTGCTGTGGATTCAGACTGTCCTTATTTTTCTGTAGATGATGCAGCAAAGATAGCTGCTGTTGGTTCAGGTAGAACGGCGGTGGCTGAACTTGATTCGGCATCGGGCGATTCGGCGCATTTTCATCGCCTTTGTATCGCTTTGTTGGGATTCCACTACCCTGTTGATTTGGGTATGGTGGAGGAGCTGCTGCTGCAACCTAAGAAAAATACACATTTTCAGTTAATTTTTTTTTCACAAACTATTCAATGAATAGTATTCATCAAGTTGATTTAATCAATCTCTCTAAAAAAAATCATTCGTTCAAATCGAGAAGAAAAGCGTAAAAAGCGCCCTAAACATCAGAGAAACATTTCAGAAATGCGATTGCAGACGATAAAATTCGATAAAATTGCGACTGAAATACGCATCAAATGAATGATTGAAAAATCCAAGAAAAAGAAAACGTGGGTTAGCATGTGGTCGTCTGGCACATTCACCTTTCCCTAACCTCAAATGAGCGCACAAGGCCAATACGTTTGAAAAAAAAAATTATCACCGAAATCTCAGCGAAATAATGAAATCAATTACCTTTCCATGATGGTTTTCTGCCGAATATGCGGGATTTTCAAAGGAAAATTAACACATAAAAATTGAATTTGCCAAATTAAAACTTGAAGCAAAAAAAAAAACAAATGAAAAAAAAACTGACACAAAAAGTGCCAACAGAATCGAGGAACGAAACGTCTGACTGCCGGTAATGAATAACTGAATATGATGAAAAGTCGCAGACGTACAAATCATCTGCTATTGGGCGAATGAATGCGGTGACTGCGGCACGTTGACGCACGCATCAACGTACATTGAACCAAAGAAGAACGCTCGCAAAAGAAACGATTCGAAAATGTGAAGACTGCACAGAAATGATGCGCGAGAAAGAGACGACTATGCATTTCGCTAGATTTTTCAGCAGTGTCTCAAGACTACGTAATATATTCGGTGTGTCTATGTGTGCGGCGTAAAAAAAATTACGAAAATCGATATTTGTCGCTGACAACAAATGTTTCATTTCGAAATCGCTTGTGACACAATGGATGTTGCATACATTCACGTCGTATTCTGCATGCAATTTGCTTAATTGACTATTTCGTGTTTGATCGTAAAGTTTGATTTCGGAAGCGAGTCAGAGAGATTGATGTTGAGAACTGATTTAGTTCCCCTAACTATTGAATGTCACTCACCTGGTTGTAGTTTTTAGCATAGGCACGTTGTTGATTGCTTTGAGCGGTTTGCTGTTGTCGTGAACTCATTTCGGCAGAGATTGGTAGGTTCCAGGCCTCTTCAATCGAAGGCAACTGCCGACGTTTTGATGTTATACTTGGCATAGGAGCGTGAGCCAATTTGGTTTGAAGGAATTTGACACGTTGGGCCAGGCTTTCGTTCGCTGATGTACCGTCCGAAGCAGCTGTGTCTTTTAAAATATTGGTTAAACTTAAATTATTTGCGGCTGAATTGGTCTTTTCACTTTTATCAACACTTTTCGATGAACCAGTCGATTGCTGAGTTCCCGAACTGGAAGTCGTCGACGAAACCGTTAGGTTTTGGATTTGATCCGATAGCTGCAACGGAAAAATGAAAGAAAATTAGCGATATTATTGAAATTAAAAAGATTTTTCTCGAGAAATAAGCGAAAAATTCGTAAGAATTCCATTTTTCAAAATGGAATCAAGAGATGTAAAATGAAAAATACTTGAACAAAATTGATGTCAGCTTTTGATGGGCACTATTATGATAGTAATTTCAATGTTAAAACGAATGAGGTTGCTTAGATACGTACACTTGAATATCTAGTTGCGTTTAAATAACAAGCGAGTGCGTCACGAGGTTGACTACAACTTTCGTACAGAATTCCCAAGTTAGTCCAAGCGGCACGATGTGTTTTATCTAATTGAACGGCACATATGTACGCTTGAAGTGCATCCATAGGCTGATTCTGCTGCTGATATAAGACTCTGAAGATGAAAGACAAAAAAAAATGCATTAGACACTCCACATCACAATTCGATTCGTTCGAAAAATTGCAAATGTTGTAACTCACCCAATGGAGCACCATGTATCTGCGTTACCTTCGCTCTTTTCCACTGAATTGCGATAGGCTATGAATGCATCATGCACCTTATTGATGCCAGCAAAACAGCGTCCCAGTAAATATAATGATTGGCCAGACTTGGGATCGACTTGAATCGATTTTTGTAGATAAGTAATTGCGTACGTTTCACGTTGCCGTTTATCACCTAGTGTATCAATCGAATGGAACATCCATCCCAATTGACGATATATATCCGAACGCAACTGTGGCGTCAGCTGTTTCTCTTCAAGTAGTTGTCCGTATGCCTCTTTGGCTGATTTATACTTGTTTTGTACTTCATAAAGGTGAGCGATTTGAAAACGAACTGAAAACAACGGAACGGAATAAAAGAAAGCGAAATTAACAACAATGTTATGCAGCACGGATGAAGGTAAAAAAAAATGTCACGTAAAATTCTGATCAGTACATTTTGTAAAACATGTTAAAATTGATGTCAAGCGTTTTGTTTTTTTTTTCTCTCTCTATACAACGCAGTAATCAATATGAACATGCATTCCAAATATGTCGTGTGTTTTTTTCTTTCTCGTTCATAAAAATAAATTTAACTTACTTTCGAACTTGGAAAATGTACAAGGCGACGAATCGAACAGGGCAAGCTGCAAGTGCTTTAATGCGATCTCATACTCATGATTCACTTTGAACATAAGACCCAAACGCAGGTGTGCCTCATTGGAACGTGCGAAGTCTGGATTCACATATAGTAACTGCTGAAATGCTTTGGTCGCCCTGAAGATAGAAATAAAAATAAAAATAAATACACATATTAGTGGAATGCTTACGAAAATTTCGGTTGGAAAATGTGCACTGAATGAAATAGGACGAATTTTTTTATCTATAGCAAAGAGGAAATGTGTTGTAACCAAGAAAACAACACTCAAAATTGAGTAAAAGACGAACAAATCGAGAAGAAGAATAAGAATCGAGTGAACGAAAATATAGAAAAAATCGTGAATATTCAGGTAAAGGTGTTGTTATTGTGCAACGAGGGCAAGTTGAACCGAGAATATCGACCGAAAGAAAACACCGATAATTGTTTACTGCACCCTATTCCACGATTGATTGGTGATTGGGGTAAAATACGATGCATTTGTTTTCTTCAGAAATTCAATGCAAAAATACCATCTTCTTTATTTTTTTATTCTAAAAAAAGAAAAGACGAATAGCTTTCGAAAAATAATTGAAATGGTTGCTCGGTATGCACAAAATGCCCATATCTATAGATAAATGTCTAAAAAAAAGATTACAAATATGGGTTTTCAAGTAAATTCTTTGCATTCAGAATGCATGGCATGGCTGAGGGATAAGACATATCGAGAAAAAAATGTGTTTCAATCGCCAGGGATGGTTAAGCCACACATAGCAGGTGGCTCGTAGCAAAGATGAGAAACGTCTTTTCAAAAGGAACTGTTCGAGACAGTACATGTGTTTCAAAACTCGAGACAAAGAAAATTTACTACACAATAAGAGGAAAAGCACAACGCTGCACTGCAGTTATGAAACCATACGTTGATTCATGATTTGTTCATCTGTTATTGTTCAGCTGGTTGTTATTTTTTTTGCTCTCTCTCTCTCTCTCTCTCTCTCTCTCTCTCTCTAGTTATTATCCTTTCGGTTTTCTACTCATTTTCTCTCCCTTTGAACAGCATTTCTTGCCATCCACTTATTATTATCGATGGTGTAGGCATTTTTTTTTTCTTCGGAAAAACAAAAGTGCATTCAAAGTAAAAACATAAGAAGAAGAAAACAAACAACAACAGCAGCATGAATCGCTTTGAACGAAATGAACAGATGGTTTCGGCAGACGAACAGAAGCTTGTGGTTAATTTGTGAGAGAAGAAATGTAAAAAAACAAATGATTGTCGAGATGCGAATCGTCTGTGATAAATATAATAATTCAATGAAGGTATTTATTGAATTAGCATTTCGAGTGTAATCAAATTTCAGCCGATTTGCATGTCATAAATGTGACGTCGGCACATTACAATCCGAAGAATTGCGGAGCAATCGACGACAGTGAACCGCGAAAGGAGGAGAGAGCGAAATACACATGTGAAATTGTGTGATCGTTTGATTACTTTATTCTTTGCCGACACTTTCAGTGAGTATGTGTGTCAACAAATTGGAAAGAAACGTTTTTGCGCTCTATAAACATGTTTAATCATCGGTGCACGCTCTCTCTCTCTCTCTCGTGCCCTTTCTTTTTCTCCGGCTCTTGCTTCTTGCCAATATACACTCATCACACGTTGTAAACGCATTTTTGTAACGAATGAAAAATTTCAAGTGGCACGTCATCTCATAATCAAAGAATGTAAAAGAAACCCATTCCACTTGAACCACTGCTATAACACAAACCGACCATTTAAAAGCGTATTCAACATTTATAGCCATTTCACATGCATAGGGTTGATTTAATGACTTTCTTTCCCAGTCACTTTTGACTAGGCCAATTATTAATATGTCGTCGATGCATTTTTTTTTCTTTTCTTTTCATTTCATTTTTTTTTCTCGGTATGCAAGAGTTAATGACATTACTCGCATGCAATCCACCTTCGTCGGCATTTCAAATATTCATACGATAAAGAACGTATATATGTAGCCCGGACACCAATCCGAAACAATACGAAAATCGTAAAACAAAAATTAATTTTCCTTTCGAATAGCGAAACCTTCACATAGCCTAGATTCGATTGCGTGTGTAGTTGTTTCGTTGCACATGCACACAACAGAACAACAACAACGAAAAAAAAATCCAATGATTTTCTATACACATCGAACTGTGAACAAACACAGCACACACACCATGCACTAGTGCAGTCAATGAAAAGAGAAGCGGTGTGCTAGCGCCGCGCGAGACAGAGACAACCGCACAAATGTGCATTAGAAATATGTGTCATGAACAAATACCTCGTTTTTAGCTCTTGACTGCGTACTGTTTTAGGTAAACCAAGACTTTGCCAAGTCGTATGATTTTGCGATAGATACGCTTTTCATTCACGCTATCTTCTATTCGATTTTGAAATGCTGTGCGCATTGTTTGTGCTTGTTATTGAAGATAATTTCATGGATGTTCAAGTAAATGTGCATTTTGTTTTGCAATGAATTTAGTTTTGATTTGTTTGGATTCAGTTTGTTTATCGAAACATGCCAATTGTTTTTTTCGGCAATTTTCTTTTCTCATGTAAACGAATTATCATCATATCGCTATCAATACAACTGGAAATAAACAAATTACTTTTGATTTTATTTTGGTTACAATTGAAATACTTTGTTGTTTTCAATGCAATAACAATTTCTTGTTTATTTGATTGGCGCTTATAAAACGTTGCACATAAAAGTCCATTGTTTTGTGTTTCGCCAAGAAATTCGCTTCTTCTTTACCCTATTCAATTTTGTTATAATTCTGTCGATGGTTTGTGAAGTTTTGCAGCAGAACGACCGCAAATGAATGACACAGCATGAATAGCTATGGATTGAGGTCAGCACAAAATCAACGAACGAACGCAAAAAAACGAAGAAGAAGAAGAAAAGTATACGCAAACAAACAAACGAAACGAAAAAAAAATTGTTCAACCATTTCTCGGTCGGTGTGTATACTTATTTTTGCGAATGTTTGTTTGATTTATTTATGTAGATTGTTGTAAGAAAGGGCAATTTATATTCAACATAAATTTTAATATAAACGCGATTATTTCTGTTCGAGCGAACGAATTGCGCTAAGAAAGTGATCGAAGCTGACTTCATCTATGCCGTTTCGATGAATGTTAGCTCTCGTAGTTTTCGTTGCATGGATTGTTGATGTATGGCGCGTGGTAACTCGTTTTTTGTTTCAGTTTCTAGTTCCGCCCACAATTAGATCAATTGTGCAACCAATGGCAGAGTATTGCGATACGAACGCCATTCCATAAACTCGTCATGTATATTGGCTATAGCGGCGACAACGACAACGACAACGACGAAGAAGAAAAAAAAGCTATTAGAATTTCAATTTCATAACGCAACAATGTTTCCATTTCGTTCGTTCGTTCGTTCGTACAATGCGAAAGTAATTCGATCGGTGACGACGACGACGACGTCGACAACGACGTTTGGCTACGTGAAAGAACTATAAAAACAAACAATACGCAAAGGAAACTCTAAATAAACACAGAAAATTTGTCGTGTTCAAGGAAATTAGAACACGAGAAATAGTGACACAAAATGCCAAGCGAAATATATACGTATGAACGTGTATTGAATGTTGTTCGGATCAAGGTAAAAATGGTTCTAATTTGATGTGGAAAAAATGGATATATGAATCGGATCGCGTCGAGTATGTGTATGCAATAGTCGGTTGTCATTCGATTTCAATTGTGACAGAATGTGATGGAAAATGCGAGACATTTACAAGGAAAAAAAATAGCACCCATTCCAATCATATATGCTGTAATACGTGTATAAATCCGATACATATAACGACATATTTCCATTGGTATATGATAGCATGAACAAACGATATAATTCATGAAAATCACAGCAATTGACCGTAAACATTTTCCGTCAGCAAGTTTAAAGTGCAGGCGAAAGTGTGTGCAAAAACATTGTGTCCAAATGGACAATCATCTGAGTGGATGAGCCAAAATCCGAATATAGATTCCAAGTTCATTCAGTTCTGTTGTCATCATTTTGCGCACAAAAACGATGACGATACACACTCTTACTATATTTACGCTTTGATAACGAATCTAGGGCAAAGCAATTTATTTGTAGTTATACGGTTTGCTCAAGGAAACTAAATACAATCGCAGTGAAATTACAAGAGCATGTGTATACGAATGAATGTGCTATCATTCAGCACCATTTGTCGGAAATTCCGAATATGAGTCGATAATTTTTCGAAGCGAAAAAATTCAATTTCACTGAAGAGAAAAATCGTACAACGAAACGAGAAAAAAAATATGGTTAATTATTTAAAATGACATCGATAATTTTGGCTGTTGATTTTGTTGCTTAAATTAATTTTTTTTATTCTCATTTCGATCGTTGTGTAACGTGATCGGTCGTGTGTTGTGTGTGTGTGTGTATATAAAAACGAGTGTTTGTAGTTTAGTTCATATGACATATGCACTTAGCCTCTTTTCTTTATTTTTTTGCATTAGGCCTGTTATCTCGTGTATGTGAGCGTGCGCGCACGCGAACTACCGAGCGGTTTACCGTATAAAAAAATAAATACAAGTAGCCGAGAGACAAGTTCGTCGGCAATGTAATTATGCAATCTATACGTATGTTATAAGTACGCCGTTTATGTGTACATACGTACACAACATATGATACGATACGCAACGACATCAGCACATTCCTTTTATACATGTATACATACATAATTTTGCGCACATTCATTTCTTATTTTTGTTCGTTTCTCTTGTGTGCTTTTCGCTTCTCATTCCCTTTTTCATTTCATCGGTCGCCGTTCGTCATATCATATAAATATACATATATATATCTGTTGACTGTGATTCGAAGCCACTCATGTACCGTTCGACCAGTGCGGCATTTCAAGAAGGGTTAATCAAAAATCAGTTTTATTAACAAAAACGAGATTGAAATTGAATTTTTCAAGTATTCACTCTTCATCATATTTGTATATACCGTTTTCAGTTGTGTGTGCCTGCTGTCTATATGATACGCGTTTTTTTTTCTGTCTCTCTGTCTCAGCGTTATGTTCGCAGACATCAATCAAACTGAAACGA